CTCTAGCAAAAAACAAGACCAGGTTTATTTAGACACTTTTAGTTAATCTATTTAAAGACATATCATGACCCCCCCCCCCCTTTGCTAAACAGGGCATGGATGTGGACATTGCGTGATGCATCTGGCTCGCAGGCTGTGAGTTTGACAGCCCTGCTCTAGCAGCTTACTGAATGCAGTGGGCATTCAAGTTTGACCATGTTATCCTATAGAGGTAGTCATCACTTAATGATGGGATTAGAATTTCTGTCACTAATCAATGTGATTGCAAAATGCAATGTTATATGACTATATCACTCAGAAATTCCGGCATTTCCATTTTCTGTCATTAAGTAAATCCCATGCTGTTAATTGCAACATTATATCTCATATTTGCAACTTCCTGCCAATTTGCCCATTGACATTGCTTGTAGGAAGCTGGCAAAGAAAGTTCCAAATGGCAATCACGTGACCTCAGAACAATGCAATATAATTGTGAGCCAGTAGCTGAGCACCTGGATAATGATCATACGACTGCAGGGACACTGCAACCATTGTATGTGTGATAAGCAGTTGGAAATACCTCTTGTTCAGCACCCATGTAAGTTTGAATGGTCACCGGATGAATGGTTGTTACCTGAGAATCACCTATATTTTCATCCACTCCACTTTTCTGGGACAGTTCTATCAAAAAAGCCTTATTGCAGTTCAAGTGTGGAGCCAAAGGCTGACAATCCTTTACATATTGTGCTACTGAGCGCATCCCTGGTTTTGCTTCTTGACATGCTAATTGTTTGTGAGTGGTGTGATAAGATCTTTAACCTTGTTTTCAATTTTATGGTGAAATGGTGAACATTATTCAGTAGATGCTCCAGTGAAACAGCAGAGTAGCCCATTTAGCAGCTAGCCTAGAGAGCACACTGTGTGAGCCAACAATGGGTGGGACTCATATAAAGACGATACTGTTCCAAAAATGCTGGGAATCAGTCTAGGAATCTCTCAAATTTCTTTCAATTAGCTTCAGGACACTTGTAATGTGAAAACGCCATAGTTGCACAATGTAAACACTAAGAGTGAGCTGAGAAAGTTTTTCTGAGTTTTTTTTCTGCCAGCAAAAGTCCCAATTTGGTTGCAAAAGCAGAAAGGAGCAAATATCTCTATTTTGGGGTTAGAATCAAACTGTACTTTTTTTTTAGAGTCAGCAGTTACACAGTACCAGGTTTACAATTGGATTAATGATGGGTAATAATAAACCCTCAGAAGACAGATAGGCTGCCCAGCTGAGCAGTTGCACAGAAGTTCCAGAATAAACACAGGAAATGTGAGATCTTTCTGTACAATTAGGATGCAGCTCTGGGTAGGTTTGAATATGAATTGATCCAGAGACAGATCAACAGAGTCCAATTTAGGATCATAGCTAAAATAAACAAAAGACAATGCACCAATAGCACCCACACCTGGTAAATGGGATGTGACGATGGAAGAGAAATTAGTTATCTGTAGGAACATTTCACAGCTGATTTGAGACTTCAAGCCAAGAGCAGAGCAAAGAGCCAGAATAATAAGATCACAGATCCAGTATTGTCAGTCTCTTGATTGAAGTTTGTTAACCTCTATTGCTGAGAAATCTTTGTTTTGTCATTTAAACTACTTGGCTCATTGTTGGTCTAGGCACTCTGCCAGGATCTGGCCTCTTATTACATCTGAGTCACCTGCTCATTCTCATTAGGTCCCTGATCTATTCCAGGTGATTGGAACTCCTGAGCCTTACTGTTTGCCAGATCAGGCTGTTCAGCCCCTGATTCTGATGAGTTAGAGCAGACCATAACAAGGAGGCAGATGTTATGAGCTGCTGCTGATGTGTGGTGCAATTTGGCTGAGCCATCCCTTAATTGTGTGTGTGTGTGTGTCAGGGGTGGGTTTCAACCAGTTCGCGGCGGTCCCTGCAAACCGGTTGGTCGCCGAACCCGGAAGTAAGTAACTTCCGGGAACGGCGAAGGGCGCGCCCGCCCACCCGCGGTCCTTACCCAGTTTTGACGGGTTCTGCACTTCCACGCATGCACAGGACGCAAACAGCGCCTGCGCGATCATCCAGGAACAGCTGGAGCATCGCGCAGACGCTAGTACGCATGCATGCACCGCACGCGTGCACGAGGACGCCGCCGGCTCCGTTCCAACCGAACCGGTTGGAACGGGGCGAGAAACCCACCCCTGGTGTTTGTGTATATGCCTGTGCTCAAGAGAAAGCATTGACCTCATGGAAGGTCTTAGGGGAGATTGATGTCTCTTCTGTTAAAGAAAGTGTCTGCCACTAAGGGCTGTTTTTTGCAGCCAAAGTTCAAATACCCAGAGAGGCCTGCAGATGGATGGAAGTGGACAATCTTGCAGCAGGCAAAGTGAAGCCCTGCAGGCCACTGATCTCTCTTAGGATCTTTCTACTCAAAGCATTCCCACACAGGAATGTCAGACTCTTTTAAAAAAAGAAGCTTTTATTATAAGACAGAAAAAAGAAAAAAGGATAAAAGGTATACATTAAGGATATTCAAAGTAGAAAAATTACATAAATATTAGAATATATTAAAAAGGGGAAACATCCATTACTTCTGTAAATAATCCTGAATTAAAACAGATATAAAGAAAATATTTTATCACAATCCTTTGCAACTAATATTTGAACCAAGCTACAAGTTGACAAAAGTAGGCAATGTTATAAGAGTTAGTAAAATTCATAATGTAATAATTAGCAAGAATTTCTAATAGTCTGAAGCAATACAGGTAGTCTTCGATTTACAATAGTTCATTTAGTGACGGTTCAAAGTTACAGTGGCACTGAAAAAGTGACTTATAGTAGTATTGAATCAGGAGAAGCATATTAATATATCAATCCATTTTATGTATATATTTTTTCTGAATAATAATTACATCTTTGTGCTTGTGCGCTCAAGATCTTCTATTTTATAATATATATCTATATCTATATATGTTACTCTATATTAATTTTATTGTCTTACAATTTTATTTTTGTTTCTGCTATGCTTTCAGTCATTATCTCACTCTGCCTTGGTCCCATCACACTCAATCCATTGACTACCATCATAGAGATGCCAGGTATCTGCTTTCCTGTGTGTGACTGTGTATAAATGCATGCTTTTACTTATATTTTTGCTTCATACTAGTTAAGTCACTGAATGGCTTAATAAAAAGCCTTTTGCAAATATTAATACTTGACTTTAAAAAAGTACTACCTTACATTCATTGTTTGTCTAATCAATTGACAGCATGTTATGCAATAACACTTTTTGCCCTGTTGTTAAACAGTTATCATGCTTTGTTTATGAATTTCCAGATATTAGTTTCTGCTCAATATTGCTATAACTTTTTTACACATACCATTGTAAATCATTATTCCATATTATCATCGCAATCTGTCTCTCTCTCTCCCTCCCTCCCTCCATCCCTCTCTCTCTCTCTCTCCTTCCCTCCCTCTTATTACCAATCTTAGGTGTGCCTATCAATGATTTTCCAGTTGCATAATATTTAATAAAATAGGATCTGAATACAGAAAGAACAGGGATCCAGCAGGAATTAGCCAGCTGTAAATTCTACAACAACTAGCTAATGTGTTTAAAAAGGAAATTTGTTGTTATATCGGGCAAATAAAAGATTTAGTATGCTGTATATAGTATGCCATTTTGAACTTATGCTAGTAAGAGGAGTGCTTTCCCCCCATTTTCTGCAGCTAATGATTGTATATTTTACAATATCTGTAATTTAATGCAATCAAATGCTACTAAAAAAAATAGCTGAACGCTTGTCAGATTTTTAAAACATAAGAGATTTGGGGTTGTCATTTGTGATCACCAAGGATTTTGTATAAATGCATAAAATCCCAGGAATTAATGAAGGCCAAATCTTGTCAGATTTTCTGCTTAATTTTTTGCCGTCTGTATCATTATAATGAGATCCCATATCACTGCATAAAAAGATTGCCAGCATCTGAACTAGGTAGTTATATTATGATAGCTATAATAATTTCACAAACTTAAAATTGTGTCTAAAAGTCTGGAGATCTTGTCTTCACAAGGGGTTCTCCTATACTGCTAATTAAGAGTGGAGCAGTTCAGACTTCAGCCATGCCCACCAGTATTTAGCATTAATAATATATATTATGTCTGGGAATTTCAACTGCAGATATATGTTTTTTTATTATTGGAAAGCAACTCCTGTATGACTGGGAAATGTTATATCAGAATTACCTTAATGATACTATTGGAGAGCCACTTCATAGGTTGCTCCCAGTTCAGCCTGGATCAGGTGGGCTCCACCTATCCAGACGGATGCTTCTGTGTATGCGCAGAAGCGTCGCACAAACGCACGTGAGCACAAGCAAGTCGGTAGCACCGGGATTTGCAACTCACCTCTGAGCCACTTATGTAGTTGGCTGGGTTTTTTGCCATATTGCTTGCATATTAATTATATTTTCATTGGATAATGAATAAAGTTTCTTGTAGCTGTCTCTTAGGCTACTTCACATAAAATTCAGAAGTGCTCAAATATACCCTTCTTTTTAAATGTTCAATCCAAAACATGTTGATGCTTAAGCTCTTATTTTGATCCACACTGTACATTAAAATACAGGAATTAATGAATACATTTTTCATACCCTTTTATTTTCTTCCATCATTCATGTATACCTTCATGCCTGTGTTCATTTGTCTGTTTCTTACTTTACCTTCATGTTTCATTGCTTATGTTTTGGCAGCAAGGATCACTCATTGTATCCTAACATTTGTGAAGATGCAATCAGATTACTTCGATCGCATAGGATGTGTCGTGCCTATTCTGAGGGTGCTTACTATGAGTTTGAGAGGTATAACACATGCCAAGTATCATTAGTTAACAACCTTAGGCATAAATGCATACTATACCGATGTGTGAAAAGCTGTCACTGCTATTTTGAATGAGACATGGAGTTCAGTGAACGTGACTTCCACAAAGTGAAGAGAAAATACTCTTTTGTACAATGTGTCTGAAGCACTTAAACGTTTGAGGGTGATATTTGTAGAATTCACGGCACACTATTAACTATTCAGTGTCAAAAATAGTATTTTGGGTTTTGAATTACTCTGATCTGGGAACTAGATATTTTCTTTGTTCGATTCTGAATGGGATTGCGCTCTCCCACTCAGTCAGTCTGCAGTCTGCAAGTCCAGTTGGCAGTTGTAGCCAGGACAATACCATCTTGTGTGCAGGTTGTACCTGTTCCTGGATCAGCAGGTCTTCATTTTTGTCACTCATGTCCTAGTCATTTCCCAGCTGGACTACTTCAACATGACTGCATGGATTCCGGTTAAAGATACTCCAGGAGCTATAATAAGCTTAGAATGCCGCAGGGCAGGAAGTCATGGGCACATCAGTCATATGCTCATGTAACTAACCTACTTCTCAAGCTGCACTGGCTTCCTTGTTGGCTTTTGGGTGCAATTACAAATGTTAGTTATCACATATAAAGCTCTGTGTGGTATGTAAAGATGCAGTTCACTTAAAGAGAATAATTAACATAAACTCAAAACAACAGATAGTGACAGACCTGGCAAAATGGGAAAATTTACAAGTGTCACTAATAGGGAGAATATCAACAAGCAAGATGAATATACTACCCAGGATTTTATATTTGTTCCAGACAATTCCAATTAGATTAGGAAAAGGTTATTTTGAAGATCTAAAGCTCTATGTTGAACGGGACTGTATTGTTACTGAGACTGCTTCTCCCAAATATGTGATAAGTGCCTGTCCACATACTCTAGGATGGACACACTTCATGTCATGTGATGGAATCAGGAGAAGTGCCTTTTCTGTTGCAGTAACTGTTGTCGGAATGATCCTTCACAAGATCGAGTGAAGTGACCCTAATGACCTTCAGAAAGCCAACTGAAGCTTAATATAATTTATAATACAGAGTGGGAATGAATTGTGCAGCCCTTGGATTTCTCATTTGCAGCCCCAAACTTTCCTAGGGTAATGGGTTCCTGGCCATTTTGATAGGAGAAATAAAAATCTAATGTAAGCTTCAATAGCATTTTCATACGCAAATAATGAAGTCTAATTTATTATACATATAATAAATAAATAATTTCTGTGGCTGATGGTTGTTGTAATTCCAGTGTTGATCAGAAATTATTTACAAGTTGAAAATGAAGAAATCAACTTTTAGATAGGTTATATGTAACATCTTTTAAGGATTTATACAACTAAATCAGTATCTTGGATGTGTTCAGAAACAAAAAGCATTTAAATTCTTCTACAACTGATAGTCACATGGCCTAAAAGGGCATTATAGATAAAAGTCTACCTGGAGCATTTGCATTAACTGAACTTACTGAATATTTTTCGAGGGCAGTTCCATATAGAGTGATTTCTGTAATCTAAATCAAAAATAATTAGATTATAAATGATCATGGCCTCATTTTTGGCCACAAGTAAGAATTTAACTTGGACAACATTCAGTTTATGCTGAAAGAACATCCTGTTGGCTAGTACTATACCTATTACTCATCATTCCCGTATTCATACTTTTTATATGCTACTTTTAAGCCACAGAATGTTTTGAAAAAGGTATCCATATTCCCCTTTGTGCTATAACAGATTCTGTTTTGGTCAATTGTATTATTCAATATTCAATATTATGTGCAGAAGCATTTTAATGTCACCTTCACCCCCCACCCTCTCACATAGTTCTCAAGGTTGATTGACTTAACAGCTAAGCGAAACATTTTAGTGAGAGGTTTGGAACCAGAATACCATTACTTGAATTGTTGGAAATGAATATTTCATTTTCTCAAATTTTTAAAAGTTTACAAAAATTGGCTTGACCTGATGAATCGCCTAGCGGCCTACATTCAGAGATAAGTGTTCATCATGTCCTGAGTTCACTATCTTGGATATATTGCACTACATATTGTTGGCTGTTCACTTGCCTCAGTAATAGGCCAGTTCACATGACTGAATTTATGAAAGTCTTGCTTTTGTTAGTTGTCTTAACATAGTTGTTGAATGTAAGGTCATCACAAGCATGTAAGTTTTGTCTGAATATGGAATTATTCGGAAAATAGCTGTTTTCAGGACACACGTTATTTTTACTTTATATTGTGCTAGAAGTAGCTTGATATTTGCTGGTCATTATCATGCATCAGCAGAAGTATGCAAGGCTATTCTAAAATATCTTTACTGTTTATTTTATGTTCAGGAGGAGTAGGAAGGAGGGAAGAGAGCCTAATACATATGTTGATGACACGTTTATTTCCCCTGCTCTCGAAAGGTATTTACTTATAGATAGATAGATGTGTAAATAATACATATATTTAAGAATTTGGAAGAAGATAGTAGACATGGGATTATAGATTATGGATTATCAACTTCAGACCCTTCATAGATGATGGGAATCTTAATTTGGTTTAGCATACTGTAGATACGGTAGAAGAACATGTAATTTCAGGATGATTAAGGCTAATCAGAAGTGTGAAAAATGTTTTGCATTAAAACCAATTTGAGCTAAAACAGGCTGCTTTGACTTTTCAATAATTTTGTAACTATTTCAAATGTATCTGATCTTGAAATGCTTTTTTGTGAGTGGAATACTCTATAAGATTGGATTGCCATTCTGGTGAAGCTTGAGCAATCTTATTTAATATCCAAGGTGATTAAATTTGAACTGTTTGCTCATCTCTAAGACTAATATAATTCATTAAATTGGGTGGTCTTAAAAATAGCCAAGGATGCTATAATAAAGCCTACCTGTCATATATTTAATTTCTGTATGGTTTACTGCTTATATAGATATTGGCAATTTTATAACTTCACTATTCTTGTTGCTGCTATTATTTATAAAAGTATGCATACTACTATCAGATTTATTGGGCAAATTTATATAATAAATAAATTTACTTAGACAAAATGCAAAGTCTGTATTCAGAGTTGTTCTGTTGATGGGAAGGCTTTATTTTATTTCCAACAATAGGTACCATAAACAATACCTATCTCATGATAGATTTCTCCAATATCCCTTGCCTTTGTAGAGTTCTTGTGGCAGCTACAGCATACTCACAATCAGATGCAAAATAAGATTGTGATGATTGTTAGGCTATGCAGATTGTACCTGAAAAGAAAATGAAAACTCCTTTGGACCAATGCTGTGTCAAATAAATATCATGTCATTTAATATTTCTATCAAGACCTGACATATTTATTTATTTACTTAAAAAAATTCACACTCTGCAAAGCAACTCTAGGTGACTTACAATTAATACAATATGATATGATATTACATATTAGATAGTTAAATGCCCTAACCAAAAGATAAATACTTTTATAGAATAAACTACTTTATTTTCCCCCCCAAAAGATTTAATTCTCCAAATGTATTTCAAGATGTAGTGAAAAGGATGTAAGGAGAACATTTGAGAACCTTGCTTGATTACTGAGATAAAAATACATCTCATGAAAAAAATTGTTTGGAAAATAACTTCATACTTATAACTTGTCTTTATTTTAACTGCATTGCAAAGGTATTACAATGGTGCAAGTTCATGGGCAGATCATGTAGTCAATGGTACAGCTGAAAATCACAGGTGAGTAAAGTATGATTGTGTAATATAGGATATGTATTTAGAATTTAAATAGAGTATTATTTTAGTTTATATTTTATTTTCCCTTTTAAAACCCATGACCATTATATTTTAGTAATATTTTTACAAATCCAGTCATTTTTACAAATTCATATATAGATACCCTATATCCACAGGGATGCATGCAGTCCTTAGGTTCCCTTTAGTAGCCCTATAAGTTCTCTCCACTTATGGTTACTGAAAAGTAATTGCATAGTTTCCTGCCATTTCAAGGTATTGGTAGGAACCTAATGAAATCTATAATGTAAGTCCTAATTAGTTTGTTGCTATTGAAAAAAAAAGAAATTTTTAGCCATCCAAAATGAATTGGGGCCTTGGCTACAAAAAGATGGATCTGTTTAATTATTATTTTAATTGTATTTGTGTCATATCAAAAATATCAGTGAATGGATTCACCTTTTGAGAAGGAATTCTACGAAGGCTATAAACACATTCTGGTAGCAGATTTTCAGTGGAGTTAAATATTTTCATGTTTTGAGAAAGGGATTTGCTAGGCATTTTTATTCTTCTATAACAACTTAAAAGAATCTTAGTGCCTTAGATTAAAACAGTGGAAAGAAGATCGTGTCACAAGCTTACAATAAAAAAACAAAGGGAAAAAACAATTTCTGGTATCATTTCATGAAGTGAAGAAAATAGAGACCTTCAAACATTTCTCAACTTCATGGATCAGAAGACCTCTAACATCCCTTCCAACTCTGTTATTCTGTTAATTCTGTCATGGACAGATTCATCTACCTCTTGGTCTAATCTGCAACCCTTGTATTTGTTAATAGAGCTCACATATCAATACATCTTATGATAGTGATGTATTCAAAATGCCCAAATAGGGGTATATTAAATTGGGTGACAGTTTAGACATAAGTCATGCCAACAGCATAATTATTTCATTGACTTATTGTGGATAGAAAGAACGAAATAAAAACTTAATACAAATTAAATAAACATTCCAAATAAACATTCCAAACATTAAAAATGGCATAAAAATGAATTGGAAGAAGTGCTTCAAAACTAAAGGCCATAGTAATTTATTGAGTAGTATACAGTGTGCTTGCACCACTTCTGAATACAGATAATCCTTCACCTATGACCATTCTTCAACAACCATTCAAATTTAGGACAGCGCTGAACAAATGGTGGTTACAACAGGTCCTCCAGGTTCAGACATCCCAACACACACACACAAACACAAACACAAACACAAAGACACATACAGACACATACACAGTCATATGATTGTGATCCAGGGACTTGACAACTGGTATATCACTTACAACTGGTTGCAGCCCTGTGCAATTACTTGATTGCCATTTGCAACTTCCTTGCTGGCTAATGCAGAAAGTAAATGAAGAAGTAAGAAGGGAAGGCTGCAAAGTGCTGGGCTTAATCTCACCCACCTACACATGCTCTCTCACCTCTTCTTTGCTTGTACCACACCAGCCACTCCCTGACCAGTGCTGGGCCTCTCACCCCTTTGCACCCCCTTCCCAATGTATGCTGCACCCCTCATGCACCTCTGAAATCCTGTGTACCTGGCCTGTGCTGAATTACTCTTTCACTTCCCTGACCCTTCCTCCCACCCCACACACCCTCCTGCTCCACCCGGCATTAGCTACTTGCCTGCCTGCTCATCTGGGACTTGCAACTTTTCGCCAGCGTCCTATTGACTTTGGTTGTGGGAAGCTGGCAGGAAGTCGCCTCACCTAATGATAGTGGGGTTTGGTTAATGATTGCTGCAGGGACTGCAGGAATTGCCATCGCTAAGCTTAACAATGGAAATTATGGTCCCAATTGTCATTGTAAGTCAAGAACTACCTGTAACTTGGAAAATATTTTTGAAACATGCCGAGATAACTGCAGGGACTAGTCCAAGCAATCATGAGGAATCCAAATTGTCTCAAAGGGAATCCCCTCCCCCCAAGCCCCCCCCCCCCCAGGTCTATTAAATCGAGTCAGTAGGTTTATGTAGTTTTTTAATAGATGTTTTGTACTGCTATAAATCTGCTGAAACATCCGTCTTGCCTTTGGTATTAAGATATAAATAAAGCCAATTGTGTTTATTTACCAAGACCCAAAACTGCATGTACTTTGTACAGAAACTAACAATGGTGGAAAATACATTTTTAGAGAAAGTACGGTAAATCATGTTATTATATAAATGGCAATTTCCTACTTTATTTTAGTTTTTGTAGATCCTACGGACTATACATGAGAGCAGTTGAACACTAATGGATTATAATATATTCAAGCAATATTCATAATAAAGGAATTATGGTGTTACAGAATTATCAAATATGGGGAGCTATGTAAGAGATAAGATAAGACACTGATATTTTAGGTGCCTTGCATACTATTCTCATATAAATATACATTACAAAAAGAATATAAAATTATGTAAAGAGATCTGATGTCAAGATATATTTTTTTAAAAAAATCTAAGTAAGATTAAGCTAAATGTTAAAAGTGTTTGTTAATGTAAATTTTCAAAGATTCTAAAATCTAGATTTTGATTTTTCTGTCTGTAGATTTCTAACAGACTATGTTAATTTGTTACAAAGTTGCCATAAAAGGAAAATATTTTTGTAATTGTTATTTGCTTCAAATTCATAAATTTTTGCTGCCTATTCCGAAAGGGACTTTCTTGCTTTCTTTAATATTTGCTTAAGAACTCTCACATAGACATTGCAAAAAAGATAGAATCCTCTGCAGGTGTAGAAGTTCTGTAGCAACATATGCAGTTTGATGTATTATCTATATGTATGGCAGAAATTATATATAAGGTGTTTTTTTTTATGAATCTGTGTTCGGATATTTCACCAGATTATAAAATACGTACTCTGTGTGTGTGTGTGTGTGTGTGTGTGTGTAAAATTTTGGGTATTTGAATTAGCAGTATAAACTTTAATTGGTAACTATTATTTTAAAAGTAATTCAGCCATGCTACACAATATTGTGTTATTTTAACTTTGTTT